GTCACCATGTTGTTTTTGAAAACGTACTGCCCAGCGAAGTCTTTTACGCTTATTCAAATGCCAAACTCAGAGCATTCTTGAGTGATTTCGGTCACAATGACCATAACAAGGTCAAAAAGGTCACTGACCTTAAATGAGCATGTGGCCTTTTGCTTAGAAGCAGTTGGCTAGATTCTGGGGACTTTGGGGATCAGCCTGGAATCTGACTATGTCTGACCTTATTTGACCCGAAGGTCTTGAACTAGGAACCTCAAGCTTTGAGCCAAGTGAGTTCACGTACAGATCAACACACCCTCTAAATTTGGTGTCTCTAGCTTTCTTAGTTCCCAAGATCTCGGTTGGGTCAAATTGACCTCCAGCCGAGCCAAGGGTATCTAGCCGGCCACCCGGGCGCGTGTTAAAAAGTGATGGTAAGCCCTAAATGGAGGGAGCACTAACGCTCGTCAAAGCATAACACGTTGCCCAATAGCACGCCCACTTCACATGCAACTCAACAATTGTCTGGATGCTCTCAATGCTCACTCATTTTTCATGATTTCAGTTGACCATCAAAATACGGGCGAGGTTAAGTATATACGCAATGAGAAATTATTGATAGGCTTTGATACGCAACATGAATCAAAACCAACCGTCATAAAGTTTTTAAATACAAAACTCACCAGTGCTCTCGGTTTTCGTTTATAAATGACTTAGGTAAAACTATAATGACGGAACCTATAATCCCCGCAGATTTAGAAGGAGAACAATATATCATGTCAACGTGGCGTGTCATATCAATGTCATCAATGCTGTATTCCGCGTAGCTGCAGCACTACATGTTTTCGCCAGGCAACAACGGTTGTGAATGTTGTCCCACGAGAAGACTTTTGTTTGCACACTCGCGTTTTATGTTCTGGTTTAAGGTGTGTGTACTTCTAAGGTGTTCTGAACAGCCATGTATTGCTTTTGAGAATAGATAGACCGTGTGTCAGAGCACTAATCACGAATGTTTATAAAGGCGACACATTTTTTCGGCGAACTAATTCATAGTCTAGCAAATGACATCAAGCGTAACGTGCGTGATGAGAACTTAACCAGACGCATACAAAGTGGAGACTGTCGTTCGCTTGAAGTATTTTATTGGGCGACTATATGCGCTGAAACAGGAACTCAAGCGATCGTCGATATGTATCATGACAATATGGATAGGCCACAGAGCATCCTATGGCGCGACATATTTAAAATCGGTGTTGAAATTGCTGTAATTTTGGTGCTTGATAGATATTGTACCATCGCAAAATGCACAAATGCCAAATGCGACTCCTTAGCATGTGACCTACTTTCGTCAGACATCACCATCGTACCTGTTGATGCACAACAGACGCCAAGCTTGTTGAAACATTCGGTTGCAACAGCAGTAGCAGCCATGGCCTGGATGAGGCAATGCATACCTGAATTTACTTAGGACCGAGTTTCGTCACGATCCCCGGTCGCAATGCTTAATGAGACCCATCTCCTGTCATTGCTGAATCTCCTGCCGGTTTTTGAGCACAGAGATCGCAGTCGGTCGCCATGAAGATGAACGCCGTCGCGGGTCGGCACCTTTCACTGTTTATAGAGTGGATGTTTGTCCGTCGGACACATGCTAGACATAGACACAGGGTCGCGCTCACCTGACATCGGATGTCATGTCACGGGGTCAGATTGCATTGCTCGGGAGGGAAGATGAAACGTCACGTAACCTCTCGCCAATCCAAGGCATACCTGTCCGAGCGCCGGCCTTTCAGACACTACCGGAAACGCTGATGGTGACGCATTTAAATTTGACAAAGCTAAAGGGTGACTTCTTGCTGCCCATGGTTTTAAGGCCTATCGGGATACACGTCATGTCAAGTCACCGAGCTATTTCATCATCTCCGAAGGCTTGTAGTCGTGTTTAACGGCAAATTTGGTTGCTTGGTGTTTACTAGCAAGACTGTACGCCAGCTATGTCTCACCTGAACCATGAGAAGATTTTCAGATTGAGCTACCTGGACCGGCACGGCCCGGGCACTACGCCGTCCGGACTTTAATGTCTATATAGTCGCTGGCTGCATGTTCATGCAGTCCCCAACAAAAAGCCAAATTCCTTAAATTATTATGTGACACATTATCAGACGTTTGCAGGCAAGGCCTTAAATCGAGTGGTTTTCCGTGTGCCTTGCAATACCATCGCAATTTCAACTCCTCCATTCGATTAACATGGATAACGTTAGATTTTTCAATGGCCAAAAGCTGAAGAACACAGATCGAAACTGGGTTCATAGCTTCGCGGTTCAGCATTGCAACGACACAGGACCAACAGATTCGGAAGAAGAAAATGGACGTTCGCACTGGCATTAGCGTGGGTTGGTGTATGCTAACTGTCAAGCGCTTCCGTAAGCAAACCATGAAACCTCCCGGCTTTCTGAGCGTCTTATACGATTTGAGTCAAACCCCAGCAGCTAGAGAATGCAAAGGCGTAAAACAAGGTTACATTTTTTCGAGCTGGGCATATTCATGTTTGTTCAGGGCTGTTTTTCGGCCACTACAGAATCCGCCGGCAAAAATAAAAATCAGTTGGTCGGTATAAAATGTTTGCCCATCCACACCGTCCCTGTGGGAGGGCACCGATTTTCCGCACTTTCTGGAAAAGGGCATTGTCAAGCTGTAAAGGAGACAGAGAATTCTGATTCACCGAACCTGAATAGTTGAAAAACACCCTTCCACAAATCTAAAACCAGTTTCTGCTGCCGGAAAATGAAGCGACCTCCCAACTGAGATATGACGGACAATGAACATTAGCCCCGCGACGTGACATGGTGAGAGAGAGATTTAAGAGATATTTGCCACGCTCTATCTCCCCTCATTTTGTGACCTCCCACCTGCCTGCTTGTGACTTACTCTCTGTTTTGAAATGTCATGTTATCTGTTTAGATTACCAAACGTTAGATTACCAAACGTTAGTGATGACCTGGCCTGGAATATGCATGGTTCAACTGAAGTGTTCAAACCGGATTTCTGAGATACGAGGCTACCATCCGATGTCAGTTTTGCAGCCCTAGCCAAACAAGGTAAGACGTAATTGTGCATCCACCTGTCGGACGCACAATTTGCAGTCTAAGCACTGCATGTTCAAAATATCCAGTTCAAAATGCTATAAGAGCTAAAAAAAATCCCTAAGCCAAACATGTTTCGGCAAGACACGGGCGAGGCTTCTTGTTTTCAAACTGAAGGCACGTCATAGCCAGGAGGTCACGCTGGTGGAAACTCAAGAACAATCTAATACCGCTTTGCACTTGGATGACTAGTTAAATAAGTTACATAAATGTTGTGGACAGTTTTCCCTAGCCATGTTTCAACATTTTCTGTCGCAATAAATAGCCTTCAGAACGATGAGAATGTTTGAGGACTACATGTAGTCGTCAAATAGACGAACAGATCATTGATTGTTGTCTTCTGGAATAACAAATGATTTCTCCAAAGACTAGATTTCGAAAGCATGTAAGATGATCAGTGACGTGCACCGAACGAGTCCGTGGTGAAACGATGGACCACAGTGCACCACACGATATCTCAGCCTAGTTCAGTTTGTTTCACCTGCGAAGAAGCGAGTTACGGGTGCCTGAAATAACACTCTTTACTTTCAAGTGGCCACGTTGCTCAATGACGTGATAACAGGAATGGCTCCTGTTTTCCTGAGTGGCCGGGACAAGTGAAAGGGAGCATTCAATATTTTGAGAAAAGACGTTTTGTTTTGCTTATTAGGTGTCAGAAAGCAGACATCCACACAAAGGATTACTCTGAACGTCAAACCTGTGTTGTTAAGAAATAATTCGAACGCGCTGACTTCTCGTCCGAATCATACAGACTGAACCTGTTTCAGCAGTCGCACATGAATTTTGGCAGGAAAGGTGTTGTTCCACCAGCATTCTCTTCGAACAGGTTTATCAGGCTCGTAGATTATTTTTTTGCCGGGTGAAAGACTGATCAGTTTTCAGGGAGCGATCTAACGTTGCTCCGACACGCCACGGCATGGACAGCAAATTGTCTTGACGAGTGTTGTTCAAAAGATCAGCTGTTATGACCTCGGCGAACGCTAAAAGGTAATTTAGAGGGAGTGCTCCAGATTTGTACGGAGTTTTGAGCTGACACAGCCATCTTGAAGGTCACTCGGTGCGCTTCACAGTCCACCTTTGGTGTAGTTCTTAAGACCTAAGCCCCTCTGGCTTCCGAGCTGCACGCCCACGAAGATATGCAGCCTATTTCGTGCGGACTATTTCCAGGTCACCCAGGCATCCATGCCGTCATGATAGCGTCATTCAAATCTTATCATTCCATTTGCCATGCGGCGACCAAGGCCAAAACTGTAACTGTGAGTCTTTCATATCTGGCGTTGGCTCCCATTAAATGTTGCGCAAAATACAATAACGCCATCAAGCAATCACTTATCGGGAGCACTTCTACTTAATAAAAAATTGCGTTGTCTAGGGCAGTCTTTTCCACATAAAGTACATCATTAATTACAAGTAAGCATAGTTCGTCATGTCTGATGCTTGCTTCAAATGTGGAGCATTCCCTGTAAGACGTTTGACCAGAAACATTTCAGATACAGACAGGTAAACCTTTTCGCGAGCGCCTTGTAAGACAGCAAAAAAGTACATACTATAACATTTTGTGTCCTGTCACGGGGATTTATCTGAGATCTAGAAATATAGGCTCTGTCGGCGTTCGATAAGATAAAAATTTATTCATGCCTACCTGCAATCTCTGCCGATTGCTCAATGGGTTTAGCAACAAAACAGGATACCTTTCGCTGCTTTGTGCTTTAGGCCTTCTCCGGCCACCACCGTCCCCCCTCCCCTCGCAGCGAGGGATTAAGTCAGCATACCACGTCACCTGTCTGTCGCACCGACGGGGTCACGGACACCGCGCCGTGTCGAGAGGACTGCCACACTCAGGACTCTCCTCTTACGCTGTGCTCGGAGGACTTTCACACTCACGGGTTTCCCCCAGGCTGTGTCGGGAAGGTTTCCACACTGCGAAGTCTCCCTCAGGCTGTGCCGAGAAGGCTGCAACAGTCCGAGGTCTCCCCTCAGGCTGTGCCGGAAAGATTTCCACACTCCCGGGCCTCCCCCCGTCTGCCGGAGGCCGACGACGAGGCAGATGACGGCCGGAGGCCGAGGAGGCTGCTTCCTGTACTCCCTCGCCAGTCGCCTTTGTCACATGACGGCATTGGTTTTCTGCGAGCCCTGCGTCACCGCGCTCCACTTCGACCGTCCGTCAGCATGGCCCCGGTCTCTCAGCCGCCCCACTCTCCCCACAGTGGGCAGAGTCTCGCCTTCTGTTCGCACAGAAGCGGATCCGCTCCGGTGCGCGGGCGAGGGCGCGGGTCCGCTCCTGGGCGTGGGCGCGGGAGCGGGTCACGGCAAGCTCGGCGCCGCGGCGGGCTCTCCGTCCCACACCGCACTGCACCAACGCTGGGCTGGTGCGGCCTTCAGCGCCGGACGCGTCGGCGGCGACGCGCCGCGCCGGCCCGACGCCGTCGCACAGAATTGGCACGGCCGCCCCTCAGACGGGGAGGGGGCATCGGACCTGTCTCGGCGAGCCTCGGTGCCCGCCTTGTGGCGTGCCAGTGACGCTGAGTACTTGGCTGGCACATGCAATCCGTCTGTGAGCGGTGCACGGCCACGTGTGCCTGCGGTAAGTCTGAGAACGGTCTCTTGCGGCCGCCTAAAAAAAGCCAGCTGAACCACTGAAAATGGCTCGCAAGAAAGAAGTTTCCTTGATGCCTCAGAGTTCCTTATGCGAACCGCTAGCACATTATGCCAACCGTTTTCACTAGCCACTTAGGTTATCATCTAAGAAAGCATGAAATCAGTGTCATCAGCACAGTTTATTACAAATTGTTGCAAATAGCAAGGCGTTCTTTTTCAGGACCTTATTCTACTTAAAATTAAACATGCATGGATAAGTTTGTCCCCCATCGAAGACGACGTCATTTCAATTATATCTGTGAAAACTGCTCTATTCTTTCCTTACCTTGCGAAGAGGATCGTCTTTGGTGGGACTCGAACACATGGCTGCTAACACTCATCGCTTCCCCCGTAAAGGCCTTACACAAACGACCATCTCTATGTCGTCTCCACAATGCATCGTTAGTAAGTCAACATTGTAGAAATAAGTGAATCCCATTTGCGTCGGTAGGCGATCCGTCGTTCGCTCTGGATTTTGTCTATCTCGAATGGTAGCTGGAACCTGAGCGCATCGGTGTGCGCGCGTGTGAGAGCGCGCGCGCGCGCGAGCGTCTGTGCGTAAGTGCGTGCGTGTGTATGTGCGCATGTATTTGTTTGTTTAACGCGTGTGGAGATATCCGTACCCAGAGCTTGCTCACGGTGGAATGGGGGCACGGAGGCACGCGGCCGCGAGAATGTGACCCGGATCCGTCCGTCGGCTGGTGCGGGACGATCCTGATATGTCGACGACGACGGGCGGGCGCGCCGGTGTTCGACAGCGCAGAGCAGCGGCTGGTGCGGGGCGATCCTGATATGTCGACGACGACGGGCGGGCGCGCTGGTGTTCGACAGCGCAGAGCAGCGGCTGGTGCGCGGCGATCCTGATATGTCGACGACGACGGGCGGGCGCGCTGGTGTTCGACAGCGCAGAGCAGCACGTGGCTGTTGTATCACGATCGCGCTGAGGGAAGCAGTCTTTACCAAATGTTCTATTTTTATCAAATACTTTACGGGAAGGGCTCTGAGACATGTATAGCTTTTCCCTTGTGGCGTGCTGCGGAGATCCCTACCAACCTAGTACAGCCATTGATGATGATTTGGGGATTTAGGGCGCATCGACTGCTAAAGGTCATGCAGCGCCCATAACTATCGATTCATGCAGAGCCGTCAATCAGAGAAGTGCATCAATCAGGTCACCCTATAGAGCCATGATGATCGGCCCTAGCATCATGATGAGAAGATTACAGGAAAATCTATAGCGCGAAGGAACTGGAGCACTTTACCAAACCCGACGATGTTCGAAGAATCCCCTAAAAAGTCGCATAGCGTGCGACTCTGGACGTGGCGTCCGAAAAACTGCGCTCTCGTTGCCGTAAGGTGGCGGCAAGCGACCAGTACGTGATGCACGGTCAGTGGATCAGAGCATCGACCGCAGCATGGTCTGTCGCCAGCCAATAGCAGGTGACGGTGCGTAGCATATGTGTGACCTATGCGTAACCGGCAAAGGGCAACTTCTTCCACCCTATTGTCCCGAAAGCACGACTGCCATAATCCAATGCGGGGTTTCACCGACTGCAGCTTGTTGGCGCTCAGCGAGTTCCAGTACAACTGCCATCGCTTCTGCATAAACAGCGACACTGCGGGGTACATGTCTTGAGCAGGTAGTGGTGTTATAGGAATTCTAGTCCCCGTCGTAGCGCGCTTTGCTGCCGCGTCAGCAAGATCATTTCCGCATATCCCCACGTGACTTGGGATCCAGCATAGAACGACCGTTTTTCCTGCTCGATCCAGTAAGCTAAGACGAGATTGAATGTCCTGAACAAGTGGATTCGACGGGGAGAAGCCGCTAACAGCCAGCAGGCTGCTCAAGGAGTCGGAAAGAATTAAATGCAGATTGCTATCGTCCACTTCAATAAAACAGAGAGCTTTGCTAATGGCTATAAGCTCGGAAGTGTAGACCGACGCGTGTGAAGGCAGTGTGAATGACCGTGTGGTCGATCCGCACACAAAAGCGCACCCTACACCTGCATCCGTCTTCGAACCATCTGTATAAGTCATCTTGTACCCATCAAAGGAGGCCATGTGCTTTAAAGCTGCGCCTTTGAGTTCCGCCATGAGGACATGTTGCTTTTGCATATTTGATAGAGAGACATCCACTCTTGGCGATGCTAGCTCCCAAGGAGCAGTCTCCATGGGTTTAGGTCTGATGACACGCCGTAGGTTCAGGCCGCTCGCATCTAAAAGCTCTCTCATTCGTACACAGAAGGGAGAAGTTTTAGGTGACCGTTGACGTAGGAAAAGCCTTCGTAAGCTACGCGAAAACACTGCTTTGTAGGTGGGATGATCTGGGAACTGCGCCAGCTTGCACGTGTAGCGCAGTCCCAGCATCTGCCTTCGCAATGCTAGTGGGGGCTCGTGAGCCTCCACCAGAAGACTGTCTATGGGCGATGTCCGAAAAGCCCCTGTGGCGATACGGAGTGCGGCGTGATGCACCGTGTTCAGAGTACGTTTGATCAGGTCTGATGAGCTGTCGTAGATAAAACAGCCGTAGTCAAGTTTTGAACGAATCAGGGAGCGGTATAGGAGTAAGAGTGTCCTCCTATCAGCACCGTATGACGTACGTCCCACGCACCTTAGGATGTTAAGAGATTTTAAACATTTGTCGCGGAGATTTCTGATGTGCTCACGGTATGTTAGGCGTCGGTCAAAGCGTATACCGAGAAATTTCGCGGTATTCTCATTGGCGACGCGTTCCCCATACAGCCTGATTTCCATATCAGGACAGTGACGGCGACGACGACAGAAATGAACTGCAGTTGTCTTCGATGTAGAAAACCGGAAACCGTTGAGCACACTCCACTTCTCCAGACGTGTGACAGCCAGCTGCAGCTGTCGCTCCATCGTGCGAGTGGTCGATGAGCTACACCAAATAGCAAAGTCGTCTACAAACAGGGAACGGCTGATCCCATGTGGAAGCGTGTCCCCTATGTCGTTTATCATCACTGCGAAAAGAATGACACTTAATACGCTGCCCTGAGGCACACCATTGTCCTGTGGATACCTGTCGGATTGATAAGAACCAACACGCACCCGAAAGAATCTGTCAGTCAGAAAGTTTTGTAAAAACTTTCCCATGTGACCACGGATGCCACAATCGAGTAACTTCATCATAATTCCATGTCTCCATGTGGTGTCATAAGCTTTTTCTATGTCAAAGAAGATGGCGCCGGTATGACGCTTGCTACTAAATCCGGCTCGCACTGCGGTATCAAGAGTTAAGATGTGGTCAATCGTGCTCCTGTTCTTACGGAATCCGCACTGAGCATTCGTGAAAAAGTTCTGGCGTTCTAAAGTCCACGAGAGCCGCACATTCACCATTCTTTCCATGAGCTTACAAAGCGAAGATGTGAGGGCGATCGGGCGGTAGTCAAGAGCGTTCGTCCCACTTTTCCCGGGCTTTAAAATAGGCACTACTATTGCCTCTCGCCAGATTGGCGGGAAGTTACCTGACACCCATATGCAGTTGAAAACTGCCAGCAACGCTCGTAGTACACGGGGAGGAAAATGCCGTATCATATCATTGTGGATGAGGTCGGGCCCCTCCGCTACACTACGCAGCGAGCGAATGGCCGCTTGAAGCTCCATCATAGTGAAATGTTTGTTGTACGTCAGGACGTCATCTGTACAAAATTAACCTGCGAAGTTTCACATCGTGCCCTGTGCCGCAAAAACCGCGGATCGCAGGTGCCATTTCGGCAACGGTCTGACAGGGCTTCCCCAATGGCTTCTGCCACATCACTTGGGTGGGTGATGTCTTGACTTCCCACTCGCAGTACGGGAAGAGAAACTGCTGGATGCAGTCCAGCGATTCGCTTAATGCGGCCCCATACCTGTGACGTCGGCGTGTGGCGATTTAGTAAATTGACGTAGCTGCGCCATGATGCACGTTTCGCCTCTCGTATAGTGTGGCGTGCGGCCGCGCGTGCTTGCCTGAAAGCCAAGAGGTTTAATGTGCTGCTGTGCCGGTCAAAAGCCCTAAAAGCTCTCCGACGTGCACGAATAGCGTCGCGACACTCGTCGCTCCACCAAGGTACAGGGGTACGACGAGGGCATCCGGAGGTGCGCGGAATGCATCCTTTCGCCGCATCCAACACGAGAGACGTAAATTCCTCCGTAGTCGGAGTTGCAGAGTCGAAATCGTTGGAAAACGTCTCGTCCAGGCGAGTCTCAAATCCACTCCAGTCCGCCTTCTTGAAATGCCAACGCTGAGGTCGAGTACCAAGAACAGTACCACCACGGTACCGAACCCAGACCGGAAAGTGGTCACTTCCAAGGGGGTCCTCTGAAGCATCCCAGGTGAAGTGTGGTACCAACTGCGGACTACAAATGCTCAGGTCTAGCACCGACGATTGTCCGGATGGCAATGTAAAATGCGTTCTTGATCCTGTATTTAAAACGCACAGACCTTCGTCACGCACGAGAGCCTCACATAGCCTCCCGCGAGTGTTCGTGGAAGCACACCCCCACACAGTGTGATGTGCATTAAAATCGCCTAAAACGAGTAGAGGGGGAGGGAGTTGAGAGACTAACTCTCGTAGTCCTCCAGATGGAAATGAAACCCCAGGTGGCAAGTAGAGAGAGCAGACAGTTATGGTGCGGCGGTTGAAATTCACCGTTGCTGCGACAGCCTGCAAGTCTGTTCTCAACACCAGACGCCGCGTAGGTACGCTTTGGTGTACAGCCAAAAGAACGCCACCGTAAGCAACGGTATCTGTTGGCATGTCAGTGCGGAAGGTAGTGTACCCTTTCAGGCTGAAGGCCGCATCAGGCGCCAACTTGGTCTCCTGGAGACACACGGCTACCGGGCAGTGCGCGCTTAAAACTGTCTGCAAGTCCTGGGTGCTTGACCTTACACCTCTACAGTTCCACTGTAAAACTGACTGAATGAGGAGGCTTTAAAAGCACTGTAAGGTTTTAAAAGAACTCAGCAGCGCTAGAGCCTGGCCCACGGTTGTGGGTTTTGTCGTCAGAACCCGAAGAGATCGGGCGGATCCTGGGTCGGATCCGGGGACTACCGCCATCTGTTGGCGAAATCGGCCCCGGCGGTCCACGCTTTTCCGGACGCCCCGTCCTAAACTGAGCCGGCGCCGGCGACGCCGTGGTCCTAGGCGGCGGTGGTGGTGGAGCACCCATAGACGGGTCTCTCCGCGAGTCGGAGGGGCCTGAGGGAGCTTCCACACGCTTTCGGGGAGGTGGGACTACCTCCGCCGTGGGAGCAGGCCCGGGGCCCGCACCCGACAGCCGACTGGCTGCCTTTGCCCTCTCCTGCTCCTGAAGGCGTGCACGCTTTGCCTCGCGCGCCCGTCTCTCCGCCTCTTGGCGCTCAAGGTTGTCCAGTTTCCGACCCATCGTCTCACTCAGGGTTGTAGGACGTGATGCTCCTGGGGAGGACGGCTGTGAAGCCGGTGATCGCGCGCTTACTGGCGAAGACCGAGAGGTTCGGCCCCGGCGGGCCACGGTCCACTCATTGCTTTCGGCTGGTGTGGGGTGGGGCGGCGAGGTAACAACTGGCGCGCTGGCCTGTGCCTCAGAGGGGGCACAAGGTGCCAACGAGACGGGGGACGACAGTGTTGCCGATGCTGTGGCGTGCACCTGAGACGCCGGTACAACCGACAGCCCGAACGATGTAAGCAGTTTAATGAACTGCGATCCGGTCATCTGGTCTAAGGAGACCTCAGGTGGGACATGGGCCTTGGCCGCCGTGGCATATGATGTCTTAGGGTGGCCCAGTTCATATAAGTCCCTTGCTTCCCGAAATGAGATGTTCTTCGTGGTTTTTAGTGCGATGATCTCCTTCTCTCTGGCGTACGCCGGGCATGCGCGATCAAAAGTGGAGTGAGGTTTCTGGTTTTTCCCACAGTTCACACACCATGGGTTCGCTGCAGTACACTGATCGCTCGGGTGCTCCGGAGAAGCACACTTGCCACATGCTGGCTGGTTGCGGCAGAAATCTCTCGTATGTCCAAACATTTGGCACTTAAAACATCTCATGGGGTTCGGAATAAAAAGGCGCACCTTTACCTTCACATAGCCTACCCTTACTTCAGATGGTATGTCAGGACGATTAAAAGTCAGCACAATGTTGTTCGTGGGGACCAGCTCCGCACCTCTGCGCACCTTGATGCGGCGAGCATCCGTTACCCCGAACTCAGCGAGACCATCGATTATCTCCTCATCACTGACATCTCTCAGGTCAAAACAGTTCATGATACCCTTTGACGAGTTCTTTGTCCTATGGACCTCCACAGCCATCGCCACTGACACATCCTTTTTCCCCTCCGCGTCCCGTACACAGTACACAAACCTATCCGAGGTCCTGGCCCGTTTGGCCTCCTCTCCGTTCTGGAACTCAACCTCGATCCCGCCGTCCTTGAGCTTATCGCATCGGAGCACCTTTCCAAACCGATCACACCCATTTCGCCTTTGAAAGGGCGAAAGGGACGACAACGGCTTCTCGGCGCTTCGAAAAATCAAGATCCGAGGGGTAGGCGCTGACGCACTACCACCTGTAGCCTCAGTCCGCCCCCCTTTCGGGGTGCGGGTGTTTTTTGAGTTTATAGTTGCCATGCGTGTAAGGTTGTAACATTCGGCACCGAGGCTCCCCACCCACCTCGGAGCCCAACTGGGGGACGGCCCACTCACCCAGGGGGTGGTGGTTCCGCCAGGGCTACCCCGGTGCTATACAGGGCGAACGACGCCTCCCACACGGCCAGGTGTAACCAGGGAGACCCCTCCCCGTCCTGACCGTGGTTCAGCGCCGCCGCCCCTTGACCCCTTAAGCCGCTGCGCGCGGCCAAGCGCCCCAAGCGGAAACCCGCAAGGAGCACCCAACCGCAACGCGAGCGACAAGCCGCTAGACCCGTGTGGGGCCCCACGGGCCCCCCACGCCCCCGGATATTCTGGCCAAAGTGGAGTGTTGGGACGCGCCGTGACTGACCCGCACGACGCGCCCCTCAGCCACCAGGATCCGATCAACCCGGGGACGTGGGCGAGGGGGCACGGCGACCCCGATAAAACGAGGATGAGGAGTGGTGATAGGGCTGGATGACGGAGAAAGGATAATGGGAAGCGGAGCGGGCGGGACAAGGAGCAGGAGCTCACGTACCGGCAGGGTCGCTACGCCCTGAAAGGAACAGCTTGCGCTGTCCACCCGTTACCGGAGCTGGGACCCGAGGGGGCGCTAGTCCCCTACACCGGCCGAAGCCGGTGCCCCTGCGGGGTAGTACAGCCATTCTAGTTCACCATAAACGTTTGTCGAACGAGACTAGACGCGCCACGCATCACGGCGGCAAGTCCGTCTGTACCCAGCCGGCCTCTCGTGGCCGTGAGTCGTCACGTGACCCGCCACAATCACAGTTTCAGGACGCGATCCCACTTCTAGCTGCCACACGTCGGTCAGACCGTCCCACGCCGTGACAGATGTGCTACAAGGCCGCCACCCCCTGCAGCCGCGTGTGTGTATACTTGAGTCTTTAGTACGACATAATCACACAACCCCTTACTCCTTGTCCTGTCCCGGGGCAGCTTGCATAAATCTGCTAATTGTGCGCAACAACGAATGTTTATAGGACATTCCCACCCTGCGTGCCAGCATCGTAGATGGCTGTCAATGTGTCATGCGGTAGCGATTCATGTCGTACAAAGAACAGTGTTCGGTAATGATTCCATATGTGTTCTCATTTAATGTTTGTTACAGCCGTTGCGTTTTTATAATGCAAACCACACACAAAGCAATCTATTGTTAAATCGCAACCTTTTTGATTGGACAGATTCCTGGAATCAAAACCGACGCTACACACTGTTACGTGAGCCATGACTCCACCATCCGATCGTGAAATTCCAGGTCAACGGCATAATTTTGCTGCAAAATCTTAGCTCGCCGTGCGACTCAGCACGGTCCTTCGTGCCCTCTGATGTCGCGCAGCCTTTGACGCAGCCGCTGTTACATGCTGCCGGCCATCCCAGCCAGGTGTAAATGGCGAACACCTAAGCCGGGACAAACCCACTCCGCCACGAGCGGTCGAATCGGAAGGCAGATACGTGGACTTGCCAGAACAAATCTGGCGAAATGGAGCGATCGGGATGAAAGTTATTGGTGACAATGATTGGCCATTGGGTTCTTGCAGTAAAGTTCCTCTCCATGCGTCGTACAACATGCACCGGACCACACACTGGCAACAGCGTTGTGATAACAAATCCAGCAAAAATCACTGCCTGTGGTCATTCAATCGGTTTTGGCTGGCAAAACATAACGTTTCAATGCACACATATGTTTGAAATCGCCCCCAATAGGACATAAACATGTGTGACACCTGACATGAAATATGATACCATGATAATTTATGATCAATCACACCATGTTCACACCATATGTTTTATCATTCACACAACCTTCTGCACTTCACCATTGCCTAAACACTTTTCTGCAGTGAAGCCTTTTATTGTGTACGGGCCAGGTGCCATTGTGCGCGTGTTTGGGTGCGTCTATCACGATCGCGTTTTCCGTGCGGTGCTGGTCATGGGCCAACTGTCCCCAGGAACACGCGGGTGCCGACTCATTTCATGTCGTGGACGTAGTGGTTGAAGATGGTCTCATACTGCTCTTGGCGGCCCGAGACGGGCGCAGGGTTGCCGTGCTTCATGACGTACGCCTCGCAGTCCTCCAGGGTGGCCGAGCCGTTGGCGATCTGGGGAGGAGGGGTCGCGCCACGGTGACATGAAGGTAAACACGTTGGTGATCTGCAGAGGGGGATCGCGCCACGGTCAGGACATGTCGGGACACACGCTGGTGACCTAGGGAGAGGGATAACTCCACGGTCAGAATATGTCGGAACACACGCTGGTGATCTGAGGAGGGGGATCGCGCCACGGTCAGGACATGTCGGGACACACGTTGGTGATCTAGGGAGCGGGATCGCCCCACGGTCAGGACGTGTCCGGACACACGCCAAGCACTCCACCTCTTCTCACATGAAACTCGAACACTTCACGGCCATTGACGATTCACAGGAGAGGCTAAGCACGTGACAGCATGAGCTTGAGTACCTCTGGCCTATTGGCGCGACAGAGGCAGCGATGCCGTGCGCGGGACTCCGGCACGGATCTCACGAGGGCCCGGGTACCACAACCTCGAGTCGGATACGCCGCCTATCACGCAACCATCGATCTCACATCAGGCTCACTCACCTCCTGCCCGCGCAGGAGCCTCAGCTACCGGGAGCGTTACCTTGAGGCCCAGGCCGGCCTTGTAGGAGCTGTAGCGCTGCTGGACGGCGCGGGACAGCGCGCCGTCCGCGATGAGGCGGGCGGCCGCCTTGAGGCCGCGAGCCATCGTGTCCATGGCGCCCACGTGACCGACGAAGAGGTCGCGCGGCTCGGTGGACTCACGCCGCACCTTGGCGTCGAAGTTGAGACCGCCCGGCTGCAGGCCACCCTGAGGACGCGCCGGCGGACAGGGTCACAAGCCGGCGCCTGGAGCGCGTTAACGGGAGCTGGGCCGCCCGGCGAGCACGGGCGCGAGCCGGAACAGGCGATGGCGGTGGAGCGAGTCCGGATCGCTGTAGGACTGCGGCTGGATGTATGGAAAATCTAGGTATCCAGTCACTGCCAATGTCTGCAGTCCTGGTGTCGGATTATTACCAGTAGCCTGCGGACTGTGCATGACTACGTGATCAGCGTTTGCCCCCTCTGGTGCTATGCCTTTCAAGAACAGCGAGTGAAAACACGCATCGCATCCAGAAGGACCAGAAAGATGCATGCATTTCTGACCGAGCTTCGGCGAGCTGCTCGCCTAGAGCTAACCGACAAACTGACGCCTCCAACAACCTGACCTGACCTGACCTGACCTGACCTGACCTTGTCTGACCCTACCTAACACGACCCCTGGCTCGCTCACCACTCGCTGAGTAAAGATCTTGGCACCGGATAATACCACACCTGAGTCATTAAGCCACTGACCACACATTTGTCGGTCTGGTGAGTTCGACCAACCACCTTACCTGCTCTATAATGGCCTTCATGACCATAGTGGCCGCCTTGACGTCCATGGGGAACTGGTCCGTATCCCAGCCGAGATCTGGAGAGCCTGAGTTCGCGTCCACCGAACCCAGCATGTTCATTCTGCCGGAAATGAAGTGATCACTTCGCTTGCAGCCAGTTTTAATAAGCGATGGGGCGTAAACTGCGTTTGTAGATTGGCTTAATATTATAGAATTAGGAAAAGCCCGTGTAATTCCATCCTCTAAATTTATGTTTATACCAAACAAAACAGAACCATCTGGCACATATCTACACCGAATAACTCTGCCAACGAGGGGTTGAGCTAAAGCAAATACGGTGCACGACATTTTTCGCGTACATGCGATTGTCGCCGTGTTATCTGTATCAAGAGGCGACGCTGTTGTCAAGGAGGGATCACGGGAGATAAGCTTGAATCAAAACTGATATAAGAAACTACGCCATGCGACCAACGATCACAAGCTCATCGGAATTCACAAACCTACCCCAAATGTTGATAGAAAACTTTTCCAACAATATCATAGGCCTTATCAAACACAAGCCCCTTTCTGGCGGCCCTTTTTAGCAACTCACGCGGACGCCATGACGACGTCGTGTTCATAGCTGTGCCCGGCCAGCATGGTGTGGTTGGGCTCGATGTTGAGCTTGAAATGCCTGTCCAGGTGGTACGTCTTGAGGAAAGCGATGACGGTCATGGCGTCATAGTCGTACTGGTGTCGGGTGGGTTCCTTCGGCTTCGGCTCGATGAGCAGCTGCCCCTTGAAGCCGATCTTCTCCTTGTAAGCTGTCGAGTAAGCGCAGAAGGTGCAGAAGGCTAGGTAAAGATCACGGTTAAAATCGCTAACGAATGGGTAAATAAGTCCTACATTTCGGATGCGGATACCTGCTGAAATTCGATGCCACGGTATAGAAGGAATGTCCAAGAGCTTACGACATTGCCAATGCCGTACAAAAGGACGCACAGTCCGTCCAGTCCCCGGAAGCGCCTGCTTCCCTCACGTCTCCCTCCCAATCCCAGACTAACCGATGGCCATCTTGAAGAAGTTGGCCATGTTCTGCAGCTCCTTGTTGAGGTCGGTGTTGAGCAGCGTCTGGAAGCCCTCACGGCCGCCCCAGAACACGTAGTTCTCGGCGCCTAGCTTGTGCGCCACGTCCAGGCCCTTGCGCAGCGCGGCGCCGGCGCACGCGAACACGTGCGCGTCCGGGTTGGTGGCGGCTCCGTTCATGTACCTGTCGATGACACGTGGGGTAGCGCATGTCCTCTAGTTCGCTGTGTTAGTCATACCTGATCGGCGCCTGTCGCGTGAGAGAAATTCGGCCTTAATGGCTCAGCTCTGCTGAGTACCTCGGGTGGGAGAAGAGGTTACAGGTGGCCCACAGCAGCTTGATGCCGTGCTGTTTCTGCAGCTGGGCCGCCAGCTCCACCATCTCATCCAGGTTCCTGCTCGTCTCCTGCCACGTGGCGCCCTCTGGCGCGATGTCACGGTCGTGGAATGTCCAGTATTTGTTTCCTGCAGGCACAGGCACGCACTGCAAATCAATGTGATGTGTTGAGGCGTTCACTGTGGGTTTACGTCCACGGTTCAGCGGCGGGGAAACTTTGTCCAGAAGTTCTTTAAGAGGCTGACATGCTATTATTCATAGTATTTTACGAGGGGTTACTTATTACACAAGAATGGCTAGTCCGTGGAGACGTTTGTAAACCTGTGGAATCAGTCCAATTCCACACGCTGTAAGCAGCCCACGGCACGCAGCCGGCACAAAATGGTCATGAAGCCCACCGACCACCGACCACCGTCTGCTTCTGGCGGCACCCACCGAGCTTGGAGAAGAACTCGAAGGCGGCGCGCAGGCGGCGTTTAGCGTTCTCCAGACTATCGGAGCCGTCATCCCAGGGCCGGTCGATGGTGGCACCGCCGAACGGGTCCAGCCCCGTGCCGCGGAACGTGTGCCAGTAGCAGACCGAGAAGCGCAGCCACTCCTCCATTGAGCGTCCCATCACCTCCTGACGGGCGTTGTAGTGCCGGAAGACCAGCACCTCCTCCGGCGGCGCGTCCGGCCGGTACGCGATCTTCTGCACATCTGACGACAGACGGTGCACGGTGTAATGGGATATAAGCCTCAGCAATGTGTTATTGTATATTGCTATTGGCGTGAAAGCTCTGAGCACGACCTGGGTCAATCATAGGATAAATATCAAAATACATCGACGTACGAATAAATCGCAACGGTCGTATTCGTTAGCACCCCAGCTGAATGGCAGAATGGCAGCCACGTGTACAAATTCGAAATAACAGCAGTGATGTGAGACAAGTCAACGACACCGTGTACCCGATCAGCTTTGCCGGTTTCGCCACCCTCCGTAGTGCAGGTGGAAGTATGACCCCCTGCCAATCCCACACATGGCATGGACCACCGCGCTTTAGCAAATACAAAATACATGGTTGCGCGATAGCCTCGAACATGACGTATCCGTTTAACGAGGTCATTTTACATTATTTGCTATGATTAACGAGCGGGTCTCGTCAAACTAGGTCAAATCACGTTTCGACGTTATTACGTAGCTTTTCACATGCTCACAAGGTGAGCTTGTGATATGACGACCTCTGTCGTAATGCCGTTCAAGGCATCATACGCATAAAAGTAAAAGTGTGCGGCCATTCACTTCCACAGGGCAATGCAAGTTTACCTGGAGCCATTTCGTGACGCTTTCGTGATCTTGGCCTAAGAGAACCGTTCACTCACGATCTTCATTTTAAAGGATTATACTGCTATTTTCAGACGGTGTGCTTTGAAAGGTATACTTATGCCATTTTGGGTGGTTTTGTACAGGCAACCCCACATGACTTAGCTTTGAATGAACCTAATGACCGCAAAGCATGCCCGATACTTTTAAGGCCGTTCAGTCCCTTATCAAGATGGTCTGAGTATTCACGTGATGTAGCTTTCCAAAGTTGACCTGATGTGACCTTGAACTTGAATGACCTTGGTAGAAATCTCGATCTTGGTGGAGGGGACAATGCAATTGCACAACTCGCTCTGAACGAGTGGACACGGAGACCTGCTGCACACAACCCAGGATGTTCGGCGGGGCGCCGATTTCTATATTTTATTTTGCAAGGCAAGACTTTCGAGAAAGAGTAGGAAAGGAGACCGGTGACTTGGCTTGGTGTGTTTAAAACCCAGCCCTAGGCGGCGATATTGCATTCCAACGCGCTGAACGGTTTGGGGGACATCTCAAAAGCCAGGTGCTAAAGCAATCTCTCTACCCTGACGAGCGACATGATGGTGCAATCAATATAAACCAACGAGTTAAGCTGTACTTTCCGGACATTCAAAAAGCCAGGTAACGGAGATATTCGATAATGAATGGCATGCTATGACATACAGAAAATTGTGATGGGAGAGCCGGTTTACGATATCTGCTGACGGCCGATATGACCTCCGGAGCCGCGCTGCGCTCATGTCTTAACTTAACCAACGTCAAAAACAGGCTTGTGTTTAACTCTGTAGGCTTTCTCAAGTTCCTGACGCGTTTTCATCATCGCCGCATATTCGTTGCTATCATGTATCTTGTAGTCCATTGACAGGAATAAAACGTTAAGCCACACATATGGAACAATCGGTAGTAAATACATGAAATGATATGACATATCCAAAAACATACCGAGTTCGCCAAAACTCATGAGATTTTGATTTTCCATTGTTGTGTATGATATGCGTAGATCTAAAAGTAATTCGCCGATCTTTACAGTGTGGTTACACCAAATATGCTTATGACGAAATAGTTTCTGCTAGAATGGCGAATTGGTTCAAGAAATTGCTCCGAATTCGAAAATATTGAGGCAATCACCAGACGTAATGAATTAAGCTGAATTCCGGGTTTTGGTACGGCTTTGAATATTAAAGACTGCTCTGGACATAACAACTTTAGTGTTAAGTAAATATGCTCTTCAGTACGTCATCGTTTGATTGCGTCATGGCACATTTGCATGATGTCAGAGCGGCTGCCAAAAATGTGTGCAAAATTGTCAATGCAGTGGACGGGCTGACTCACATGTTGTACTCCAGCTTGTGAGGCATCGTGTTAATCGGTGTGTTGTTTGCAGAATTGAAATATCGATATGTGCACGTGTTTCAGCCCTTTCTCGTGTGGTCACTGCATATTTGTCTACGATTTTATGTTGTTCACTTCATTGACATAATCGGTTATGGCGCTATTCGTAAGTAAGTAAGTCCTGTATGATATAGCACAAAACGTGTTTCATGGTCGAAAGTTGTACTCAACACATTAGATTGGCTGAGGGTCGACTGAAATTCGGCCACGCCAGAAATCCTGCTGCTGTACGCCGGGTACGAAAAACTGACACTTACGCTTGTCATGGCGGTGAACTCTACATGGCCAATCAGGTGACAGCATCCGTGTAACGTTTCTTGGCGTCAGGCATGCCTGAGTGACCTTGAAATAGCGTGCATGAAAAAGTCTGCAGAGTTCCGCGGGCGTCAAGCTCAGAAGCCGGAGACTATTCAGTGTTAAAGGGAATGCTCCACATTTGAAGATATTGAAGCAAGCATCCTATAAGATTAAATAACCTTGCTTTATAAATTTTTGTATACTTTGAAGCAAAAAAAGACACCTCTAGACAACACAATTTCTCTGTTTGATAAATATGTTCCTGAAATTACCATTGTTCGATTACGTTATCGCGCCTTGCACAACATTGATTGATAGCCAGTTGACCGTCGTTATATTTGGAAATCGTGTGAGCTGCGCCGAAAGATCTTCAAGACGACTATTTCAGTTCAAAACTACATACAAACGTGGAGCACTCCCTTCAAAAAGGGTAGGGCTGTGAACTGCACTGAATGATCCTCAAAATGTCTATCTCAGTTCAGAACCCCATAGAAACGAGGAACGCTTAACAGTCAAGCAGCTTCCTCTCATTTGTAAAGGCTTCCAGATTGACAGGGCGATGCAATCAATAGACATCGACGACTTAAGTTTAGTTTCCATTTATTTCGTCTTGTTTCACTGCTCCATTGTTATTTGTCAGATCAGACCAAAGGAAAGTATTATGCATGCTCCGTTCCATTACAGCTCTGTAATGTACCAAGAAGCGACACGTGACTAGCGCGAGCATGATGGATCGCGATCTTCGTTTAAACACGACGCCATCGTGTCATCCGCAAGATACACAACGTTGGCAGTGCCATCTTGTCAGCAGGCCAGCGCTCGCCTTGTCCATGTTTGGTGGGGTTAGGGCGCTATCTGGGCATGCGGCGTGTCAGGCGCGCCTGCTCTACAAACACGTCTGTCCTCTCGTCTGCAACGGTCCTCTGTTGTTTGAAGTTAAATGCAGCGAGCCGGGAGGCCCACTGAGCGGCCTCGGAGTGGCAGCGCAATGTGCAAGACTGGTCACTTCTCGCGCAGAGCGTGTTGCGATCGCGGACGGAAAAGGGACGGGAGGGATCTGCCACTCTGATCCGCGTCATCGCGTAGCTTCTGGCCGCGCAATGACGCCGATCGAGTTTCTCAGTTCAATAATGGTTGACCTGTCGGGATGGTTAGATCAATGCGGGTGAGTCAGGCGGAACGGACGGTAGCGCGGAAGCTGCGCTGGGGTTCTCAAATCGAGAAAAATCGTTCGCGTCGGGAGGCACAACACGTGCGTGTCCCACGCCATGTGGGAACCCCCCAAACGCCATCCGCGCTAGCTAACGTAACAGCTGACTTACACGTATCGTTAGATATCCTCCACCTAGATGTATCATCAGGGTAACAAATGTGAAATGGCTTTTTTACAGGAATTGAACTTAAGTGGATCGCCACTTGTGTTTGATGTGCAGCATGCGTCAAATGCGTAGAAACACCAGTTAACAAGGGGGTCCTGACTTTGTCGGAGTGCTCCACATTTTTATAGGGTTTTGAACTGAATTAGGGATCTTGCAGATCATTCGGTGCAGTTCACAGACCTGCCATTCCTGAGACCCAAACCACTCTAGTTTGAAAGGAGCTTGAAACATTCCCTTTAAAGGGACTGTTGCAAATATGTGTGGCTTAAACCATTTTCGGTGTCGTTCCCTGCAATACACGGCGATGCTCTTTTGAAATTTCAAACCCTCTTGTTTCCGAGCTTGATGCCAGCAAACTAGTGCAGCCTATGGAAAAGTCACCCACACATAATTTCATAGAGATGCCACTCAAAAACCCATCCCATTGGCTGTATTGTGCTCATGGCCAAAACAAAATATGAGCACCCAAAAATTCGTGTTTGTGGTGATGTAGCACGAAGCGTCCCAGCGCTAGAAGGGTTATACCAGGATAAATTACCAGCGTCATGTAATCACATGAATACTCACCATGACCACTCCGTTTTGGATGAAACTTGGCAAACGCTCTGATCTATGTCACAAATTGCACCCAAGCATCTTCAAGGGTTCTAAGTCACATGGGTCACGAGACAGATGTGATGGAATTTTCGGGAAGGTCTTGAAAATGGACCAAAACATATTTTGTATCTATGGAATGGCTGCTTTGATTTAACCCCAACTGAACATTCTTTGAAAGCAGATGATCTGCTGCATCCATTAGAAATACAAATGAGCACTTGCGGTCATTGTGCGTCCATGTGATGTCATTATTTTTTGCATCCATGGCATTTATAAAATTTTGCTCCAACTTTTTCATGGACGAGTGCTCAGCGCGTTGCATAAATAATCACATACAGTTTTCTTTGTCGCTCTAACTCTATATTGTGCCACTTAGGTCAACAGTGAGATCATGTTATTGGGCTCCACGCATGCTTGGTGCGTATGACACGAACTTTAGCCGAGGCGGGTATTATGCGAAAGCTCGTCACCCGACGTTGGTCATGCTGTTTAATCGAGCTAGAGGTCGCGCAAATCCTGCATCGGTCAGTGACCTGACCTTAAGCAGTGTTTACAGCCAAGATGATGTAGCTAGTCGCTATGGATGAAGCATGTCACTAAGAGATCGCGCCAATCTTGAAGACCATTCGGTGCAAATCACAGTCCTCCCTTCTTAAGGCCTAAGCCCCTCTAGTTTCTGAGCTGCACACCCGTCAATATATGCAGACTTTTTCGGGGAGACTATTTCAAGGTCGCCCGGGCATCCACGACCTTGACGCTGTAGTATCGGCATTCAAATATTACCATCCCATTAGACATGCGGCGATCGAGATCAAGAAAATGTAAATGTCGATTCGTTCATATCTGACGTTCGTGAGCACTTCTTTCAGATATAATGGCCATCAATTCGCTCTCAATCAATGTTGTACAAGGGACGATAACATCACCAAATACTGACGTATTGAGGTCCATGTTAAGTAAATAGAGAACTTGTGTGGTGTGGATCAGTCTTTTCCCGAAAGCATACCATTAGTTACAAGTGAGCTTATTTCATGATATCTGGTGCTTGCTTTATTGCCTTCAAATGTGGAACATTCCCTTTAATGCACAAAACATGAAGTGATGAGCAAGGGCAACTTGGCCCCATTCTGTGTCAACGTGCTTATGTGCCAAGCTGGGGCAGAATTTCTCGCTATAAATAATTTGTTCACTAATGAGTGGTGCAAGCACGCATTCATGCCTTCTCTTCAAGCTCCGGATGCGTGTTGAAAGCATGCAAAAGTGCATGGTAGAATAGACTGCGTCGTCAAGGCATCGCAAAGGCAACCATATTTTAATAAACAATCGGGATGGCATCGTGTCTTCACAAACTACGGATATCCCTAAGTGAGCAGCAGCGGTCTAGGGAAGCACCCATCACAATACATGCCAAAGTATTGCATTACGCATCGAACATTGGGTGCGGTCGTGAATGAACAGAGCATCAGAGTTAAGTCCAAAAAAGATCAGTCGTCCGAAAAGAATGAAACAAGCAGTTCGGTTTACGCACTACGAACGTCCGTGCAACACGTAAGCTGGTAACGGAGGCGAACACGTTTCCAGGCTCCACGCAACGGAAACGCGAACATCTCGAAGACGTGAATCGGCACGGAAGTGGTGACTGGTATGATGTTCGCTTTCCATGTACCGACATGCGATTCCTCCACCTTACATCGTATGTCCAGTGGGAGCGAAATGGGCTTCGAAGTCGCCGCGTTTCAAAATACAAATAAACGATAAATTAATTTCTACGTAACTGTATTCACTTGTAAATACACGACAGACCGTAGTTCACGCGTGTCGAGTTAGTTTCAAGGGCACCTGACACGCTGAACAAGTCGGCCTGATATCTTGGGGTAACTCCGGCACCAGGCACGCCTTGCAGTCCGCGGCCAAGCCGAGAAGTCCCCCAAGTCCGCAGTTCGTCCTCACCTGGGAACGCCTCCTTCATGGTTGTTCCGTTGTCTTCCTTCTTGGCGCGTTTGGCGGGGCTCGCTGCGGCCATGATGCTGTCGTGTGGTCGGCTGCCGTTTATAAAGCCTTCCGTCGCCGTGTCACACGAGCGCGGCCCGTTTTTGCCGGGATAGACCTCCTCGCCGTGTGTGAGGTGCGTGCCTGGCGCCGGCCGTATCGCGCTATACCTTTTCGGCGCCGGCTGCGGGGCGAGGCCGCCCGCCCGGGCTGCAGGGGCGGCGCGGAGGCACGTCCCCGAACCTCCTCCCCCTCCCCCTTCTTCCCCTCCCGGTGGACGCTCCACGTACTCAGGCGCGAGGCAACACTGGACTAAGGCTCGCGGTATTTGGGGCGCAGACTGTTTTTCCGCTACGCTGTTTTGATGTTACACTGCGTCCGCTATCGCGCCGTTCCTCTGCCGCGATAGCGTGTAATTTGGACGACTACGCCTATGCGACCGTGGCAGTGACGCCGGCCTTGGAGGACAGCGTCGCCAAAAGGTGTACGTCTCACCATGGGCACGTGTTTGTGCACAAGCGGACGGGCGGCTCGGGACTTCTGTTACCACCCACCGATACCCGGCTGACCTCGGGAAAGGCGAGGGCGGGTGCAGGGCGTAAGGCGTACCTGCCTGCCCCCCCCCCCCCCCCTCCCCCGGCCTGGTTGACTCCTCCAGCAGAGCGGCAGACGTCATTATCACGGGCCACATCCTCTTAGAATTTCATGTCAATGAGTCATGACTGGAGTCGTCGATTTGCATTTTTTAGGAGGGTCATGCCCCCCCCCCCCCTATGTTGTTTTAAGCTCGTAGTATTTTGTCTGGAAAATACAAAAGTGGGAGAAGATAAACTATTATCTACTATTAAGTATAAACTATTATCTACTATATATTATCTACTATTATATAAACTATTAAACTATTAAGGTCTACCTTCTGCACGTATAAGTTAATGGTCACAACTACTATAGTTTTCAAGCAAAGGCTCTTGATAAATGTCGTAAAATCCAACGCCTGTTTGCTGTTCGTCAAAAGTAACTGGATTAAGACCTGTCTTCTTTCGAATCGCTACCATGCAGCTCAGCAATTGGTTTGACTGTCTTCAGGTCAGGGTCAGCCACACTACGGGACCATATAAGCAGATCTCTACTAAAGGTCATGTGAGGTCAACTTGTGGGGGCCGAACCAGGCTGACTTATTACGATCATATGTAATGAACCAATCGGTATAACAAGTTTAAGGAGAACTGGAGCGAGATATTAATATCACGAATGGAATCATTATTGTTGGAAGCATTGTCCTCGTCTATTGTGTTAACGTGTACATGCTAATGCACCAAACGAGGATGGTAGCCCTAGCAACAATCCAGGGGTACTTAAGTGCCTTTTCTGTCATCGGAGAAATTTGGAACCGTCTTTATTGTCACTTGGAGCCCAAACTATCAGAAACCGTTGCAGTTTAACTCTAAATACGATAAACCACAAAGACAAAGACAAAAGAAATGCAATGGTGCGTAACTATCAAACAATCTCGCTTCGGAATTCATTTGCACTTGCGTATCGCTTTCTAACCATCAAACGCTGAATGATGGTTAAGACTAAACTTATAAAAGATATGAGATAAATACATGCTTAACATAAACAGCCTATATGCGTGTTGTTACTTTCATGCATCATTTACATCCATTATTTTTCTTTAATTATTTTTCTTAGGGTTCAGCCCCCAAACTTATTTTGAGGCACTTCTCTCCTGCTCCCAACTCTGAAACGAAAATGTATCAAATCTGGGGAGAAAACTGTTTGAAGTGCATTTCGTAGGCAATCCACACAATTTTCCTCCCTGCGCACTCCCCGCCCCCCCCCCCCTCACCCCTATGTGTTTTGCAAAACTGCATCCCTGCAGCCCTACATTTATTACTGTTGGTTTTGTGACATCACTGTACAACCAGCTGGAAGTGTTGGCGACCTTCGCCATCTTAGTCACTACCGGCGCAGAACTCGCACTTCCTAACACTGTCTCAATCAACGGAATTGGGTACCAAGCCCATGTAACATTGGTATCAGCAGAGGCAAAAGACCTTTGTCAACACCTCTACTGCCTTCATCTAGCACTATATGCAATCTACTATGACAATCAAAAGCGACTTACCTCACGCTTCTCCAGCGGTCAGAACGCTAAGTCTGAAGCGCGGCCGGCAGTGAGAAAGGTCTACACCAGCGATGCTCTGCAGTGGGCATCTTATCTCAAAGCTGCTGGTCCTTTCAGCAGCACGAAGCCCCAGATAAATCCTTGACATGTGTCGCTCCAATGTCCTCCGTTAACCTCTAAGGCTACAGTTCGGGTAGCCACAAATAACAAGCCTCCTAGATCGGCAGACCTTTTTAACTCTATTACTAAGGACGCTCTCCATGGTAAGTCCCAGGAAAGGCCGCACAGCGCCTGAAAAAGTGACGATTGACTACGTTCAAGTCAGTCAACTTCTCACGACATGAACGCAATGAGCGGCAGCCCGTGGTATTGCACCGAACGCACACTTAACCTAGTTCATTACCGTGTGGCTAGCATGCAAGCCCATCTGTCTCAAATTGCGCGACGCTTTGAAACGCCGCATAACAAGCTGATTACGTTCGCCGGCAGATACTATGCCGAGCCACGACTATTACGGCTAGTAATAAACCCTGTTATTTGGCTTTTATATTGTTTAACATATGAAGTGAATCTTGTCTGACAAAATATGTGGAAAGCACTGATCTGACGGCCCTTGGAAAAGCACTGCGTCACCCATGATCTGTGACGTCAGCGCTGATATAGTACAGTTTGTAGTATATTTCTGTCGCCTGCTAAGAACTATTCTGATTAAATCATGCATGCCCCCCAGGTTTTGCAGCATCTTGCAGCTCAACCTGTCCATGCAGGGAAAAGTCAACGTTTCGACATGTGCTCTACACAGGCCCACACTGCAAGGGTGAGCGAGTATAGACTAATACTTAGCATTGAGTTTCTGTGATGTGTGATTTGTGTTTCTATGTGATCTGGTCTGTTGTAATTTGTTTCTATCTTCGCAATTTTGCCACCATCTGAGCCGCAAAAGTGTCCATTTTTGTCACCGATCATATCTGGTAAATCAGGAGCTTTTTCACCGCTGCAACAATAATTCCATCCGTCAAGTTAGCATGACCAGACCGATGAGTTCTGTTTATCGTGCGAACCAAAAAAAGGAGATAGATCATGTCCGGTTAATCGCGTCCGCTACTTCGAGTGCTTTGACTGACTTAACCTTGGCCCCTGAATGTTGTTCACATGGCGACATTGTTTTGAAGCACAACACCACGCTCTTTCATTTGTTGTCCGTTTCAAAGCTGTATGATCAATATGGCGGGTGCTGGTGGGAATTGAAGCTGGTCCAAGATTTTGTAAACTTTATAGCACTTTGAGTGACCTGTGGCGTCTCAATTACGTGCAAATGGTAGCTAATATCTAGATAATTCCGGGATGTAATTGAACAGGGCTATCGATTTTCGTTCTGTGTTGTTTTAGCTGTCGATTGGGTCCAGAGATGCCAGAAGACTGGGGACAGTATCTTAAGCTCCCAAGTGGAACAGAGGCAACATGTGAGGTGTAATACAGCGACCTCAGGTCACCTGCGACGGCGAGAGTTCGTCCTTATAGTGAACCCAATCCAAATATCTGCGAAACAGTTAGCCAAGGATAGGTAAGGACTTGACTAGGTTGCCCTATGTTAGGCCAGGTTCGTTCCAGAGGAGCTGTCAACTGGAGCAGCTGAAAGACCGACTGAAAGCTTAAGGTCGCGGAGTGTTCCCAGCGAGAGGAGGCGATGGGAGGGCGCGGCATGAATGCGAGGAATGTGAATAAGAGGATGGATCTTGTTGCTTTTGTGCACACGATTCTTAAGACAAAAGTACTGGCGCAAATACACAGCTTTGACTCCATCAACCTGATTTTACCGACCAAACATCAGGCCTGAAGGATTTTCAGGGTCTGTTGTCCCTCATGTCTCTTTATAAAGATTACGATGTTCTGCTCATGGCGGGTCCGTGGCAATTAAGACCGAAGGGCGACCCATGAGGCCCTCTTCGTCCGAGAAAAGTGTGGCTCCAGTCTCCAGTCCAGCCCAGCCCATGACACGCTTTCTGTGACAGGTTACGCTTTCCGACGCATTTTGCGTGCCCATGTAGTTCAATCGCATCACTGCAGCTGCACATTTTACAAACTATAACGCGTCCAGGCTGGGATACCTGGAAATAGGTGATCACCGTCCACAGCACTCCGCACCGCACCCCACAGTGGCACCCACATGGGGCCGCACCCGCATACTTCCGCAGCCGCATAACGCAGCGGGCTCATATGTGCGGATCCATACATACAGCGGACGGACAGGCGGGCCTGCACAGCTGTGACGGTCGCGCCCACCTGCTCGACGACACAGCCGGAACAGTTGGCGGCGAGCCGGGTCCACTGCGTCGTGCACCTGACGGCCGCCGGCGGCCCCTCGGACCGTCCTCGGATCACGCGACCCTGCCCGCGCCGCACGCGCCACAGCCAGGTGAGCGCTACATCGAAGCGAGGTGGAACGCGTTATTGGCGAAGATGTTTAAAGCTCCGCTGGGCGTGGAGGGTTTGAAATATTTCGCGCGCCTTTAAGGCCGTGCTTGGAGCCATAATTCACATGTTGAAGCTATGAAAGGTTTTGCTTTTGTGTGGGAGGCACAAACAATGCATGCATAGGGAAATGTAAGGCAAAAGTTTGTCAGGTTTATGAATTTTCGGGTCCGGTCGTGGAGCTTGTCTTCAGATCTTTATCACTGGTCGGGGCGAACAGTTGGAATATGAAAAGAATACAATGTTATCGACCGTATGGTCAGAGGCACAAAGGCTAAGCAAAAGATAAGAACTAACACATGTTAGACGGCGAGGTGGAGGTGGAAAACGTGTGCTGGTTCTATGTTCTTTAACTTTGTAAAACTCTCGCATCTCTCATTGTCCAGTTAACGACAACACTTTCTTGTCATATTTATGCCAAGGTTATCGGAACCATTATTTCTGATGTTTCGATATATATATATATATATATATATATATATATATATATATATCGGAACATCGGAGCCATTATATACACCGTTTTGCGCTGACGAGCGCCAAATGTCGGAAGACGTTTCGGCGATCGTGCCCGAAAGGGTATACATGTAATATCTTTCATTCTACACAATTTAGAAAAGCGCAATAAGTCGTCCATGGTCGGCATGTTGTCCCTTTTGCATAACTTTCCCCGGTTGAACCCCGTAAACAGGATTCAATTGCATGCCTTTGTTTGAAAAGACGCAATTTCAGCGTTGAAGAGCTTTCAAAATAAACCAGAATGTTTTCTAACTACACAGTGAGTTGTAACAAGTTCTCCTGATTCTCCCCAGTTCCTTATTCTTACCAGAAGTTCGTTCTCTGTACTGCAACAATTATTTCACGTATTAGCCGCAGCATGACCACTACGGGAGGCGGGAACGCGTATTTGTGCATTCATGGTGGTAGCGCTTTAGACTCCAGAGCTACGGCCAAAGATAGTTTGCGGAGGTGGTGATGCTGGTGCCATACTTCCTTTTTTTCTGAAAAGCTGATAAAGAGTAGCAGAAGAATCGTCAACGTTGCGTGTATCTTCTGTCATAATCTTGTAAACTGAAACACTGTCATAAAGCGAAAAGTACTGTGCACCTTTGTAGTGGTGATTGTTTGGGCTTGAAAGCTGATCTTTTGAGTTAGAATGCTTCGCTCGCACGCCTGCGTAGCCAATGGGGAGGAACAATTTTGGGTCAATGCCCCTCCCCCCAGTGGCGAGGACCCCTCGTCCCGAAGTGCTTCCCGTCCGTTTAACACGCGCTCTTCAATTTCATCTTCTAAGTTTTTGCAGAATAGGTTTCGAACTGTACGGGGCCCGAAAATAGTCTCAAAACGTCGCGTGCCTGTAGGCAGTTTAATGCCTGATCTATTGGTATGCCAGTTGGACGTAACTCATGAGATTGCTGACTTGTGGCAGGTCAAAGTCAGACCGTAAGCTGTCAAAACAAGCCAATTCCAAGTAACTCTTTGCACCTGATGCGACAGTGGATTATTGTATGAAGCCGTACCACCTTGGGATGATTTCTTAGACCATAAAACCATCAGGCGAGGTGTTGTGAATGCTTTGGCGTCATCCTAGGCCATTAGGGGATTGGTACACCAATATGCTCATCATTCGGTAAAAAGATGACCTGTTCAAATTCAGGTATTTGTCGCAAGTGCAGCCTCTTTAACAATGCTTGCTGAATCGTGTGCAAGATAGTATGAACAGTGCAATTTAGATTAATCCACGAAATATGCGGGACTGGGTCTAAAGATCTTGGCTTACAGGTTTGGACCAAATATTACAACCCGTAAGACGCACTGTGTGACGTAGAAAACCGGTGTTAGGCAGGCGAGAAAATAATTATGAATAGGGTGCACGGGATGACCAAAAATAAATCTCTTTCATTTGCATTGCCATAATATGTTCGTCGAGACGACGCTGGATCATTGAGATCTAGGAACAATTTAAACCGTGTTGCGCCACCCTTGGGTGTTTTCGAGTCACTTATGCGCTCGCTATTATACCCTTGACAGGCATGGCCTGCGGCTGGTGGCAGTGGCCGCACGAAAGGTCAGTTGACTTCAGAGGGCAGGACGGACCGTGCCGAGCATTTAGGCACGTTAAACTTTCGCCATCAAATTGTGCTGTTGACCTGGAATTGCGCGGTAGATTGGTAGGGGTTAGGGCTCATACGACAACCACTTCTTGCGTGAGTTCTGATTCCAGAAATCCACCTTTTTAGAACACTCGATGAAATCTTGTAAAAATCTGCACTGTTACGTTCGCAAAAACTATCTGAAATGAAATGTAGCCAAATTGAAAATGGATCATTGGCAGGATTTGCGCGTGCTAGGTTATTTTACACTTGCATGGTACCATGAATTGGGTTGGAATGTTAGACCGGTGAGGAACGTTGTTAAAACCTTTTTACCTGTAATGAAGCTGCTTGGCTTAAGGGATCGCCAAGAGGTCCGAAGGGTTGATGGACTGCATTTAACATTGCGGTACGGGATAAAACTTAATTATGAAAATATAGTTCATAAAGAGCTCTCTTGTGTAACCATGCACTTAAACAGGCAGCTGATATTTAAAAAAACGTGCCATAAAACAGCAGCCGCACATAATCGACCGAGAGCATGAAGCGGAACAAATGTGCAATTCGCAAACGCTTTGGTATGCATGATCATCTGTAGACATGCTTTTGCCATCGCAGCGGCAGCATGGCTTATTTGACGTACTTTATTTCGGGAGGATGGCGGAGAGCATGGCGACAGGCATTCATTTAATCGCGGCATGAATATCAAGTATGCTATTTATTACTTTCCCAGCATTAAGTGTCTGTTTAAAATGCAGAGAGGGCGGGGTTCCAATACTTTCCTCATGTTTTTGGAGATAACTCCAGAACTGATAAGATAGCCTTCTGAAATCAAAAGTTAGTTGCGGATAGGCAGGTCAAAACGACTTAAAAGCTTACTAACAGCGTGGTACTTTTCGTTTCCATGTCTTCACGGTGGCACATTTTGTGTATCTAGAGCGAAAAAAGCCACGTTGGACGAAATTCTCAAAAATGGACCAGAAATCGTCCGATTCGGACGAAAATTATTCATACGTTACATTCCGGTGCGTTATGTTCAGAATGTTTTTTTCTCGGTTTCCTTGCGGAAGCCAGAGAAGTGAGCCGATATACACCAAAGAGCGGTTCTCTAGGGAAAACATATCGAAGACAATCCCGAATTTGCTTACCATCAGTGTTTAAGAATGATTTGGATGAGCTTTCACTTCTGAATCGGAAAGAGCTGGCAAAAATTATTTCACATGGCCGTATTCGCTCCATGAGGAGTATGCCGGTTCGGCTACCGCTGCAAACGTTTTCATAAGAGGAAAAGGAAGAAAGCTATGTGGTGTAATGCAAATCTGTTGTCTCCATCAGAAGTACAGCGTTCTTTTCCTACGACGGTACACAATCTTCCGAAGGGGAGGAGAACAGGACTTTTGTCTGTTGAGTGTTAGATCACTAGATTATGCTCGTTTAAATGAAAGACCAGTTAATTCCCTGTCAGGTCAACATGACGACAGAAATAGACCCCTTAAAGGAAAATAATATTCCAACTGTTCTATACCTATACATGCTGCACTGACACATCACTTTGATGACAAACTTGCCGCTTATGTCTCGCTATTATTAGCATAGTAGGTCACCTAATCTCAGACCATCCTAAGTCACCTGTAAAAATGGCATCACTCTGTTGAATACCATAAAGAGTTCCATTTTTAAAATGCCGGAAGCGGAAGCCCGCGCAATCTTAAGGCAATCCTAGAGCGCGCAAGTTTAACGCAAGTACTGTCCTCTCGTCTTGTCCACCTTACAAGAGGCATGCGTAATGAACTGCATGTCAAAAAAGGCTCATAAATGACGCATCGCGCTTGGCATTGAGACCGTAGCCATATTGGAGTAACT